CCTGTGATCGATAGCTTTTTTAAGGCACCAAATCGGCGTAAAATTTCCTTGTAGACCTGAAAATTCTCTGGAGATCTTGAAAAAGGTCTTCTATGAGAGCATATTCATGACTGTCGTTTGATGTCTTTAGGAGGTAGGAAATCATATTTTCATTTAGGAATGATGAGCTTTGCCAATAAAAACTCCATGCATACATGGAGAAGACAGTTAGCTAAAATCAAAGTTCGCAACGGGGAGATGACCCAAGTGACGTTTGAAGACGTGCTTGAACTTGGCTGAGGAGTCTGTAATAACAGAAGTCCGCCTACGTTTGCTAAACAAATCGAGCAGTTGGCAGTTTAAACTTTACTCAAGAATTAGCATCGTCACCTACGGAAATATTATATTAACATACTTCATAGAACGACTCTTACCGCTCAATTGAAAGTGTATTTAATGAATAAGGTGGCGCTGACTGTGCCGCAGGCCATATTCACACTCAGACACACCTCTAGACTGACATGTCGTAAAACCCCGAAAATGTACCGAGTCCAATATTAGCACAAACATTTACGACAGATCAACAAAGTGGGAATAGTGGAAACTACGACCCATACTTGTCAATAAGCCCTTTTGGGAGAACCAGGGGATAGCGTAAAATCAACTGCGAAATCTACCACCACAGCGAACCTGTTATAGATTTTGTCTTGTGCAGATGACCTTTTTTGATTACATTGCTTGCCGATGAATGCGCATGATTTTTAGACTTAGTCAGCTTGGTCTAGATAAAGGAACTGAACAGGCGTCATTGTCAAAGTGTTGTAAGTATCCACTGAGGCAGTAATAGCCCTGATATAAACATGTAAACTCACCGGCGCCAGCAGGTGGCAACACTGAACCATAGTAGATTGCCTTGGTGGCATTGGCGACCTGCGGACTTCCTGTGGGTGGGGTGATGGTCACTTGGCAAGTGTATTCGCCGGTGGTGTGGTCGTTCAGTTCGGGAATGCGGAGCCTTTGGCCGTCTGAATGATAGCGCCCCTTGAAATACCAGGCGAATCGAAGTGGATAAGGCGGTCGTGGTTGAATGCGGCAGTCTGCATAGTAGGCTGCATTTTGGGCAGGTCGTCCCGTCAGCGGATCGATAATCACCCAGTAGGTCTGATTATCTACAGGGTCAAAAAAACGATTGGCTGATTGCCGCGGGTAGTACTCGTCAATAAAAAGATCACTTTATTGGTCTCTAAAAGCCTTCTTATGCTGGGACGCGCGCCAGAACGCGCAGAGCCTCGGCCTTATTGTTTACGGATGTTATGAATTACCTTTGGTGAATTCACAAAAACTGCCTGTCATAAGATGTGATAGCAGATGCGTTCAATCATGTTGGAGTGTAAACTTCCGGTTTGCCATCCACTGTTGACATTTATCAGCAGTCCTCGTTAAGAAATTGTCGACTGATTGGCATGTTTTTTTTCGTATGTCTACCGTGGTTGTAATATTCAATCACTTTTACATGATCCATATTCTGCGGATTCCATGCAATAACAACAACGAAGATTTCGTCAATTCTCACAGCAAACATCATCTTAATAGCTGTCTGGATTGGTGCAGTTGTGGCCTAAGAAACTACGTCAGGGAAACTGGGAGACTCTTCCAGACGTGAATTGGGGAATACGTGGCAGCAGCGCGGGGAAATAAGGTCCATTCACAAATCGCGACTTATTCTAAGAGATCCGGCAACACATTAAACTTTGATAAGGCCGAAATTCTCGTGAGAGTTAACAATCGTGTGATCCGTGATTTCCTTGAATCATAGTTTACGGGCCTCCAGTCTTTCAGTAAGTGCAACGATCTACTCATTCCATATACGGTCCTGAGGCTTAATTTGGACAAGGCCAATCGCCACTCGGGGAACGCATAGACCAACGCGTAGTCTAACGCCAACGCCGAGGAACCAGGTGGCCGAGCAATCGTCACGCCCAATTCTACCACATGTGATGAAAGTTCAGCAGGTCACGGCTTGCACGCCGGCCATCCAGCAATTGACGCACAAGCGAGCAGTTATCCTCGATAGGGGCCGCCGTTAATTGTCACAAGTGTGTGGTAGCATAGTGACTGTATCATATAAATACTGCAACTCCTTCTGTATGAATGATCCGTTTTTCCATTGTCTTTGGTTTTCGATCCACGGCGGGGTTCGCAAAGTTAGGCGAATAAAATTCTTGTTTCAGCGATCACACTGAATCATTAAACAATGAATCTGACCTCATAAAGCATAGTAATTATGATTGTGGATTTTGTCACAACATAACGTTTAGTTATAGCGACACAGTTTTATTTTCCCGCGGCTGTATAATAAAAGTTTGGGTGATACACTATAGTCCGAGTAAATTAATTTGGTGAGCCTACAATCCAAGTCATCACATCCGAAGTTGGTAACAAATCGGAGCGTATACCTAATGAAACGGCGCAGGATGTACGCAATTGGTTATTGTGGTAGTGGTATTGCTTATATTTAATATCTGCTTTGAATTGTTATACATTGCTTAACCAAGAGATCCTAAAGAGGACGTTTGACAAACACACACACACACGCACACGCACCTACCAGTAACAGAGCCCTTCCGCATAATAAATTTCTTGAATGCAGCACAGTTCATCTGGCTATTATTAACAATTCGAAGTAGACAGGTTTTCAAAATATAAGAGGGGAGCAATAAGTAAGTAAGTATTTCACCTTTCTATATTAAGCGCCGTGTATCAAATGGATGCGTAACTAATAGGTTCCTACGAAAGTAGGGCAGAGGTAATAGAAGATTACCAATAGGACCATTGGAAGGCGGAGAATGGTACTGAAGAGAAATTGTTGCCTTCGCCTCGACAGTTGAACCACTGGTTGGTTTGAATACTACCTCGCAGGTGTATTCACCGACCGTGTGCTCATTGAGTTCCGGGATGCTGAGACGTTCGCCGCGCGAAACGGCTCGGCCTTGGAAGTACCAAGTGTAGTCAACTGGTACAGAAGGCCGTGGTGTGAGACGGCAGTTGGCGTAGAAGGGTCGCTTGTATTCCACTTGTTGAGTAAGAGGAACAATGTTCACTTGAATCCGTCCTAGAAGCGGGCGTGGAGGAATAAGGCAAGTCTAAGTTCATGGCAAGTTTAAAAAGTGTTTGTCATTCAATGTCTCTATTGAAGTAGAAAGCGTTTTAATGATGTGCAAAAGCATCAGGGAAGTTCGCATGATCGGAATTCGGCAAAATAGAATAACAGAAAGTTTGTTGTAATGTAGGTATTTTTTGCTCAAAGTTCCGCGAAGGGCAAATTTCTTCGACTCCTGGCATTACATCTACCACAAGGCTTAACCCTTATTCTAACTCCAACCGCACCGATAGCCCCAAGATTAACCCTAATGTCTGTTGAACTTAGCGCATTGCTCCAGGATCGGGAGGTACCTTATTGGAATGTCGAAGGAGGTTAGAAGGTCCAGAAAATGTAGCTCAGAAAATAAGCCCAGAGACAGAACAGGGTCAATGAGCTCGAAGGTTGGCACGGACTTAACACCCAGATACAGCTGTATCGCCAAACTTCTGCCACTGCATGGTACAACAGCTAAGAGTTCGTCAAAGAAATAGAACGCCGCAGCATTTTTTTCGGTATATCTTCACGTATGTGTATAGTAATAAAGGCCTGTTTGACTAGTATCAGATAATACTCATGTAGATGACGTTTTCGGCACAAATACACAAAATAACCTCCAGAAAGAAACGGCAGTGTTTATTCCTTAAGGATACACAAGAATGCAGCACAGTACATTGCAAAGGCTTACAGTATAGAAAACAGGCGGAAACTTTTTAAATAAAGTGGTAGTTGGCATCTAAAAAACGACAGGAGAATCAGTAACTTACTGCATCCCTAGACCCGAAAAGGAACCTGCACACATTAAGTAACCACACTGTC